TCAGACTTTCTTTGTCCTCAGTCATCCTCATGGGCTTTTGTAGGACTCACTGCAGTATGTCTGCATCTTTTTTGTACCAGGGACCCAGAACTGACGCAGTAGCCCAGATGTGGCCTCACCAGTGCTGAGCAGAGAGAAGAGTTGCTTCCCCTCTACCTGCTGGCACATCCTGCCCCTGCAGCCCAGAAGGCTGTTGGCTTTCCTCTCATCCTTTCTTCTATAGAAACCTAGTACTTTACTGAAGGAACACATCACGCCTTTCAGAAATCCAGCAGAAGACAACATCATATTCAGTGGTAAAGTAAAAAAAAAGAGAAAAAAAATCAGCAAAATTAAAAAAAAATAAATTCAAGTACCAGGTTACCAAAACAAATGGAGTTGTTTTGAGCTGCCAAAAGAGACATACAGATTTTTTTTTTAATGCTTAATATGTATTTAAAATACCTGCAAGTTATGTGGCAGCCATTTTTGTACACACGCACAAGCTGTATTAACCAGTGATATGCAAAACATTGTATTCTACATATGCATGGAATCAAAGTACTCTGAGTGATATTTTTAATACTTAAATTGTAACTGATTTGAACGAGGATGAACATTTATCTTGAATAAATTAATGTGAGACAATAATAAGAAATCCTAAATTAATTTTCATTAGTGAAAATTAATCATTCAGTAGAATTTTAATAGACAAGTCTGAAGAGACTTCGCTGTCTGCTTGAAAAGACTTTTGCTTTCAAGTATACTAAGGCTTTTTTTGAGTTTTTGTTTTTTAACTCTTCAATAGAACTAAAAATAGGGTATGTCCAGGCTTTCTAAACATATTCCCTTTCTCCACCCTGCTGATTTCTGGATATGCCACTCTGATTAAGCTTCTGTTGACTCTGGAAACCCTTGGCACATCAACTGTGTGTTTACACATCAATTCTTGATAGTTTTCACTGAAAGTCAAACCACTGCCACAGGGTTATGCACCTATCCTAGGTGGATAAGGATGGCATGGACACTAATTCTTCAAATCCAGTTTCTGTCTACCATTCGTGGCTGCATTTTCAGCAAATTGCTGGATATAATAACTTTAGTGTAATTCTAGATTTTAGCAGTAAAAAAGGTTATGGAGATGGCAATGCTACGTAATTGAGGCACTCCTGGGCCTTGTGAGAAGAGTGTCTTTGCTTTGCAGGGCAAATACATGTTGTGCAATGGTACTACTTGTGCTTTGTTCATCATGTGAAAAAATGGCAGAATCTTGTCATTTCCAGTTTGGAGCTGTAACCTGAAGCACGTAACACTGGCTAAAGAAATGAATGTCCACCTTCGACAATCTTTTAATACCCTTTCCTTCTAAAAAAAAACAAAACAAAAACAAAACCCAAAGGAAGCAACTATGTGGCTGTTTCAGTAAGGGATGTTCCTTTTGCATATGCCCTACAGAGGTTCAGGAAATAACCAGAATTTCAGGTGCAATAAGAATGAAGAATTGGACTTGGCATCATCCTCTGAATTCACTAATAAATATGTACAGAAGAGCTTTGTCCCTTCAAAGGGTCATGAGACATTAGCTGGTTTGACTTCTCATTTGAGACAAGTAAGCAGTTTAGTTTTGCAGAGGATTATTATAGCTAAATTACAGCCTTGTATGCTCTTCATGAGTCAAGAAGGACACTTTCATGAGCAGCTTTTTCTTACGGTTGTGGTCAGTCTTGATGTGAGGACACAGCTTTCTACTTGTTTCCAGTTCATTACAGAATTATTTTTCTTTAGATGTCTCTGAAAACAAACAAAACAAAAAGACAGGGTGAAATAGGAAATTTTATGTTTGGATTTAAAAATTGCACGGGGAGTACAGGTGAATGAGCTCTTGAGACAAATTAATGGCTGCGAGTTAGGGCTTGTCTGTACCATAAAATGGTTTGTCAGTACAATTACACAGCAATCCAAGGACTACAACAAAAATAAACCTAATATATAAAGCTACACACAGCTATGCCAGCAACTTTGCTTAAGTACGTGAAACTTACAAGTAAATTTTTCTTTTACTGGTATAGCTTATGCAGCTTAGGGAAATATTTAACCTACACCAGGCAAAAGAGCTCATTTAGTCAGTATAAACTGTGACTCCATCAAAAAGTTTTCCTAGTGTATCTCCAATGTGATTACCATGGTGCCTCCTGTGCCATATTCTGGTCTGTCAGACATAGTAGAAGAGATACTTTCCTCTTGGGGAGAGGCTTTCCAAAGGATGTGCCCTGTGACTGATGCAACAGAGCTGAAGGCCTGGAGGGAAGTTAATTAATAATTTAATTAATATTTAATGGCAACATGCCAGTGTGCCAGACTTCACCAGTGGGCTGTGTTCCCAGCTCTGCCAACTATAAAAACATGTTAGACTCTGCCCTGTGGGGGAATGGTAGGGCTTGTTCGAGTAGGAAGAATATCTAGAAGATCTAGATAATCATGGTTGTCTTCCCTGCCCTAAGGGTCTCTGAACCTACAACTGCTTTGAGACAGGTTCTTTGAAGTTCTGCCTGAGTCAAAGCTAAGATTCGAAGCTCTTAGAGCAGCTCACTATTTATTTGACCCCTCTTGACTCTTCTCTCTGTCATCACCATTGATTGCAACCTGGAAAAAACTTCACTTCTCATATTAGAGAAAAGTGAAAACAGCAGGCAGCTGAAAAATAATGTAACCATGAAAATTAGCAAGGTAGATGATGCCCCCAAATCTGCACTGACAGTTACTTAGGAAGGGGACTTTCAAAACTGCTGAGAACACACAACTACAGTCATGGATTTGGGTTCCTCACTCCAATATACCCAAGGCTACAAAATCTGCCTCAGCCTTTCACCCAGAGGCTTTTCTATGAAAGAAACAGCTTGCTCAGAGGGTCAGTGGCATGACAGCGCCAGAGAAATGTCCTAGAAAAACAGTACAAAAAGGATTAATGGAAATGTACTGGGGTCAGATAGAGTGATTTTCATTTGTAGCACTGTCTCTAAATTCCAAATATGAAGTAACCTGCATCTCAACACAACCAAGGGAAAAAATAAAGAAAAGAATTACACCTTAATCTGTTTCATACAATTTTAAAAAACTGGTACAAATTGAAAATAAAGAAAACTATTTTGTCCAAACAAAACCACCTCAGCTGTTGAGTTCATGAGAACAGGAAAACACAGCTGTGTAGCTTTTTCATTCCTTAATGCATTTCTCTCTCTTTTCTACTTTTCCTTTATTTGTGTCCTATTTAATAAGCACAGAAGCTTAGTCAGCTGAGACCATTCCTTTTCTGGCACTTGTGCGCAGTTCAAGTCCAGAAAGCAACCTCCTGAAACAGCCTGACAGCAGTACTCATTTTCAGCTCTCCAGGTGGCTGGACCATGTTGTTTCTGTCCTTTTCCAGCCATGAGTTACATGCAGCTATCAGCACTGGAGACAGACTCTGCCTTCTCTGGTTTTGCTGCTGAATTTTTTGTGGTTGCTGTTGTTCCTGTTCCTGCATGCCTCCATCTCATTTTTGGTGCCAGGGACATAGGAGGAGACATTACAGCAGCACCAGAGTTATTCCAGTTCAGTGGTTGCAATGGACCTTCTATCTTCCCATTTTCTCACACTGAGAAAAGCCACTGTTGATATTTGCAATACTGTCCAGAAGACTGTCAAGCTGAGGGCTTTCCTCATTAAAAAAGAAGAAACAACTCATGGCAGTAAAAGGAGAGAAACTTGCCATGCTGAAAAGAAAGCCACACATTTTAAATGCTTCCAGGGTGGTGTGGGGTCTTTTTCTTCCTTTCTTTTGAATCTTTAATGAAAGGTTAAAATATGTTAATGATGGTTGTTGCTATAGCAAGCTCAGGCATCTGTAGTGAAGTCCCTTCCTTAATTGCTTATTGTTCTGGAGTGATGAGGTCATGTTAACATCACTGACCCTCTGGGCACTTTTATTCTATCAAGATTAACATAGCAATGACCTGAGGCAGCTCTGTTCTTTCTTTCTTTCTTCCTCCTGCTTAGGGTGAGGACTAGCTTTTTACTAGTATCACCTGGCATGCTTCAGCCCTGATCATGGAAAGATTTTGAGAGGGACATTAGTGAAACACTGCAAATAATAAATACTGGGTTTTTTTTTAAGGTAGACTTCACTGCTTAGGCTTACTTCTGTATTTCATTAAAACTATTTTTCCTCCTAATGATTCTATTTAAAAGTAATTTACGTCAATAGACTTAATTTTGATAAATTGTATATACCAAATAATTAAAAGCAGATATTAATAAATGGCATAAATGTTCTGAGGAAAGGAGGCACCATGGGAGGGAAATGGTTAACTGATTAATTCTTCAAGAACTATCATGATGAGATATCAGGTATTTGACAGATATTAGGTGAAAGAGACAACATATTTTGGTGCATTATTGTCCTGTATATAACCCTAAATTGGCTAATTTGGTTATTTTATCTGGCTACATGTTTTATTATACTATTGTCTGTATTAACGGTTAATTGCATATATCCATGTAAAATCCCAAAATATATATAATCCCAAAATATTTCCCAAAATGCTCACATGTGCTAGTGTGGAATCTTGATAGAAACTTTATGTGCTAGAAAAAAGCTGTAGTGCAGATTTCTGGTGGCTGGGGAAGCCCAGCAGGCTGGAGGGGCCACATGCTCCCTGGCTAGCTAATGATTTCAGAGAGTGGATATATCTGTCAGCCATTAAGGACAAAACTTGTGGGATTGCTTTGTAAACCAAGGATTGTCCAAAGAGAGTTATCTCCCTCAAAGCAGCAAAGGTCCTTTTCTTTCATGTCCTTTTCTTTCATGTTTTGTTAGTAACCTCAAAGAGGACAACTAATAAAATGAAACTTTCCTTCCATTAACAGGGAATTTAAAGGGCAGGTGGATAAAGACTTAGAGGAACTGACACCACAACAGTAAGTGGTATAAACAGATGCTGATCCTCTAGGCTGGAGCTCCTTCTTGAAAGTATGCTTTCCCCTTAATGCCTATGGTCAGAAAGGATATTTTAGTCAGAAGAGAGCTTAATTCTCTCTTTCTCAACTTCTTTACATGATAGAACCTCAATAGCATGTGGACTGAGGAAGTAATATGTTATGTGAAACTTCCTACTTAGTTTCACTTTTGTATTTTCTGTGATTTTGGAGTCTCGTGTCTGTGAGCAGGGGGAGATATGGCCACACACTGCCCTGGATGTCATGTTTCTGAGGGATTTGAGCATCGCAGGAAAAAGCCCACCTTATTTCATATTCACTATGTTGCTTAACTTGAACATGGTATGAATGTTGCACATCACTTAAAAATAAACTACATTTTGAAATGAAATACTTAATAACAAAATATTTTTTTTTAATCTCTGAAGCACAATATTTCAAGTTTTTCCTGTGTTTTCAAGGATCTCCAGCCACAAAAGAAGCAATTCAGCCAAACCAAGTGAAATTCATAGAAGGTTCAGCTATGAGTGAAAAGAACTGGGACCACAGTTTCAGTCACATCTAGAAAAATTCTCATCTGCATTTAGCTGGAAATGGTGCCTAGAGATTGTTACAAAGGCCTTCTTCACTGGCTCTTAAAGTCACTGCAGACTGCCAGAGCAGATAATGCCCAAAAGCTTTTAAAGCCTCAAAACAGTCATGCACAAGGCATCCACTCCCAGAAAGAGGAAACGGGCTGCATTCAGAGTACTATAATTTCAGAGCAAATTGGCACAAACCAGAAAAAGGTCTGTGCGCTTCTATCCGCAGAACAATGGTATGTACTCCTTTAACAAAGGTGACATGGCTAAGAGGTCACAGGTGGCACCTCAGAGGAGCCTTTCCTGCCTTACTCACATGACATTTGCAACAACAGCAGAAGTTCCCAGGGGAAAACCTCTCTTGTTTTGGGAAGTGAAGGCTATCAGCCAGTCTGAAAAATCACTCTGCCTGCACTTGTTTGCATCCATGAGTGATCCCAGCCCACACTCACCTTCTTCCTCTGGAGAGTGAATGCTCATTTCTAATGCTGGTGTCATGAAATACTTTTCTTATGTTTTCAACTATGTTTTCATCAATATAGGTGTAGTCATGCTCTTCTTCCTCTTCCTCTTCTGCCTCATAGTTTCTTGCTAGGCCTGAAAAATTAGCAAAAAATATCTCTAAGGAAATGGAAGACGCTGCCCTTGGCCTGGAGAAGAAAAATAGTACAACTCAAAAAGACAATCATAAAAAGAAACAATGTTCTCTTAATTTTTGTATTTTTCAGAGATATTAAATGACTTGCTCAAATTCCAGAACAGTATCTGTGACAGAACAAGAATGAAAATGAGCTGAGCACTTTACAAGAGCGTCTTCACTCAAGAATTCCTATTTCAGTTTTTGCATAGGCTTGTACCTCTAAGTTGACCACTGCCTGCTATCTATGCATGAATAACTTTAATGTTTATTGAAAGGTTTAGCTGGTGTAATCACTAACATCAAAGCAGGCACATAAAATTTTCTGACCATATCAAGGAAAGAGCAGTCCAGCTGCCACGAGTTGCATGTACCATCCTTACCACAGATGTGCTCCCATGTTGTCATGTTTCATTGCCTGAAAAGAGGACCCCCTGCAGCTAGGGAACCACAGTGTTACCTTGGGATTTCCTAGAGACAGAATCCCCCAATTGCTTGTAATTTAGATGGTGATATAACAGAGACACAGAGTTGAGAATGACATGAGGTTAAAATGAAATGTTTTGGAGTGCATTTCCTTACGCCCACCTAGACTGGCCTGAAGCAGAGCTGAGGACAAACATTACAGAAAGCAGCAGTGTTTTCCCTCAAGACAAGAGACCCTTATTGGAGGGCTCTTAGCAGCTCCAGTGCTGTGGCAGGCTCTACTCTGCATCTGGGTACTGTAACTTCACTTTAGAGCTCACAGTAGTGCAGGCTGCTGCTGGGAGGTTCCAGGGTCTCTTCCCCTGCTTGGGTGATCCACCTCTTCCCTGAGGCTAGAGCAAACTCTGCAAGACATGTGGGACCACTGATCTCATGGAACTAAACTCCATAAGGATCAGACCATGAAGTGCCCCATTTTACCCCTCACAGCCACCCCATCACTTAGCTCAGCCTGTGGTGGGCAAGAGCCAGGTGGCAATAGGACCAGCTAGAGCTGAAATGATGGTGGTGATATCATCACAGATCCCCTGCCAAGGGCAAATCACCTTTAGAATTTATCAGGAAGTCTCATAGGTTATGGAGCTGAGAGGATACTGTGTTTTTAAAGCCAAAACTTTCACCTGAAATTGCAACCAGTGTGAAGCACTGTTGTTGGTACAGCTGTTCCTGGTTGATTAATTTTCTACTACCATGGTGTACTATCTGACCTCTCAGCAAGCCATGTTTGTCAAACAGGTTATTCTTTATGAGACCAAGCTTCTCAAATAAGAATTCTCCCAGTCTTGCACTTTCAAACCACCTTGTGCCCCTTCAACAAGAGGATAACACTGTGATTTCTCAGCAGTCTCCAAATCCTACTTGTGTTCCTCCTGAGGCTCTCCATGACTAAGGTGTCTCTCCCTGAAAACTGGGTAATAGTAATTTCTTTCTGAAGGTGTGATCCTTTCTTTTGTAGGTTTTCTAAGGCTGGAAATAAATATGAGGTTAATCAAATATCTGTCTGGCTACACCAGCACAGAGTTTATCACAGACCTATATAGCCATCAGTCCCCCACTACTGAATTAGCAAAGTATTTCCAGATCTAGGTATCAAAAGGGAAAAAAACTGCAAAACAAAACCCCAAACATATGATTAGAAATGCATGGAAGATCTCACTCACACATGTGGCCACTATCTTGTTAATAAACATTTCCTGGTTTGTAGTTCATTTGCAATTTGGCTGTGCTTGATATCAGTAAAAGCAAACTAATGAATAAAACAAGCACTGAAAGAATAAGCTAATCCCTGTGATTCAGCGAGGGAAATATTGTTTGTGCACTTAGACTTGCTAATATGGATATAAGGTACAGATTGCTCCTGGATGGCATAGCCAGGCTTTCTTCTTTTCCAAACACATGCAAACAAATTGATACACTTCTAAGCAAGACAGCTCAAGGAGAAAGAACGTTGATGTCATCAGGCCAGACTAAATCGCAGCTGTCCCCACTCCCAAACCTGCTCAGAGTTCCTTTTGAAATGTATATATTTACACTTCAATAAAGCATTAAGCAATGAATGAGACAAGCTGAACAATCCCAGGGGGATCCTGAACATTGAAATCAATGCAATTTTCTTCCCTGTTTGAAAAAAAAAATCTATTAGCCTCAACACTGAATTACCGAATCACATAGGCCATCTCAGTCTGCCAAGAAAACAAGGCTTATGTCATCGTGCTGTCCATCCATCTATCAATCTCTTCAGTACTTTTACAAGTTTATTTCTGCCAATTTCGGTCAGATTTGAAAAGGGGACAGAAGTCTAACTGTGGTTACAGAAGCTAGGGTTGAATTAGTTCCTCTATTGAGAGAGAAGCATGCAGAACACAGCTGTTATCCACTCCATTTGGCAGCAGACAGCAGGATAAATCAGTGTGTGCATATTGGTTGGCCACTCAACACACACATAGCTCCAGACCTGCTCTTTTCCTTTTGATAGGAACACTACAAGAAGAGTTTTGGTTATTATCAGGAAAGACAGAGTAGCAGTAGGGGACAACAGTCCTGAATACTTATTAAATAAAATTTCATTAATTCTGCTCTTCCTGGAACAATTTGTATAATTATATTTGCCTTTATAGTGGAAGGCTAGTGCTCTGCAGACTAAAAATTTCCATTTATTTCACTTGTATCCTCAAGTGAGTACAATGTATTGTCTTTTTCTCGGAATATACTTGCTGTTTTCCACAAATTTCAAGGCCAGAAATTGTTGTCATAACAATTAATAACAACTGTGGTCCCCATTTTGCCCTTCTTCAAAAGGCAGGCAACAGAAATGACCCAACTCATCAAGACCCTTGCTTGAATGAAGCAAGTGCTGGAGGCCCCAGCTCATGCATATGCACAACTCTGCACACCTAAATGTCTCTAGCTGTGTGACCGTAACACAGTTTTATAGCTATGGTAAATATTTCAGATCAGTTTTAACACTGCATAAATTAACACTGAACCACAAAACATTTGTTGTTTATTTATGCCTAACCTGAAAAAAGTAGTTGTGAAATATTCTGCATAATAACATTATGAACTGGTAGAACCACGTCCTTATTTCTGCACATCACTTAAGTGAAAATGCACAGAACCCAAGGTATATGCATAAACCAAGCATTTTTTATGAACAGCAGCATTTTATTTGCTGTGAGCCTGGTTCTGATGCTCCTCAGTGCTAATGAGAACTAATTCCTTAGGGAGTGCTGCTGAAAGCCGATCAGTGATAGAAGAATCAGAGCCCATAAAACTAATGGACTGTTCCTTGAGCTGGTATCCATCAACCATTACTTCATGTGATGATGTAGCATATCTTTAAAAACTGTTAAGTGCCACAATCAAAATATTTCACATAAACTGTAGGGTTGCATTTAATGTATGGGTAATATTTATCTCCCTCTGGAATCTCCTAAACTAATGTTTGGAAAAGATTAGTGTTAATTTATTTAAAAAACCCTTAAATTTCCTGAAAGAGACAAGAGTTGACCTCTTTCCCTGCCCTTTTACTTTTAAATTTTTTTCTTTTTCAGTTTTGTTTCTAGTCTGTCTCACTGATTTTATTGAACTTTTTGAGACCTAGTTTCCACTGTTTCACTAGTGCCTCATATAAAATAAATCCCCAATGTAACCACAGCTCTTGCAGATCAGAAATGGTTGCCACAAGTTTTAAACAATCTCATATTTCTTGTCTCATCATAAGTTCCTGCAAGAGATGCAGAGAGGGGCTCAGGGCACCATCAGAGATGTTCAAGTGCTGCTCTGCACAGGACTGGGGGAGCAGAGCCAGGCAGCACAGCCAGGGAGTGGGAAAGGGCACTGACATGAAGTACTCTTTGCTTTAACTACATATAATGCTGCCATACCTCCTCCCTGCAACCACCTAAGCTCCTGCCAGAAACCTCTGAATATTACTGCAATTAAAGTCAGTCATATCTAGTAAACCAGAAGGATTCAGAGCCTGTGCTTTTTTCCCCCTGCTGTAAAACAGATTAGAGTTTTGTTGAGGGAAAAGCATAGGGAAAATATTTCAGTATCATTTACTAAAGTGTACTCACATTCTATAAAGTGGTATGATCTCCATATTTTAAGTAATTTTCTTGCCTTTTCTTGAACTTAGCTCAGAGGATGTGTCAGCCAAGGATAAATTTTGTATTTACAGATGAAAACAAAAAAAGTTTTTTGTTTTTGTTTTTGCTTTTATTCTTTTTTTGTGTTTGTTTGTTTTGTTTTTCTTTTTTTTTTAATTACAAGACCATGGGACCCAAAGAATCTAATACAATTTTTTCCCTATTCAAAGACTGAGCTGAGTGGGGAAGCTGGAGGGTGTTGACACACACACATACAGAAAAAGATTCCCAATTCATATTGCTTATTCCCGTGCACCTAGCTCAGAACAGTAATACAAAATCCCTGTGATGTCCTCAAAAAAAGAGCTGCTTTTCTTTTTTTTCCAAATAATTCAGAATTCTATATTTTGCTTTAAGTTTTTGGGGTTATTATGTTTAATTAATTTTAATATTTGTTTTAGAGTACAGTTCCATAGTCATATGTATTGTCTTAACTAATGGGACAGCAAGCTACAGGGACAGAAATTACTTAAACCATCTTTGAAAATTTAGTAGACATATGTGCATCCTAAAGCACAAATAGAAGGCCCAATCCTCTTTTTCTTTCTCCAGCCCACTAGCCTCTTAAATCAAGTGCCTAAAGACAGAATATATAAATACCTTCCCTAAAATATCCTGACATCAATGAATGAAATCAGCATGAACACTGTTTTGTTGCAGACTGTAACTATTCCAGAAACTTATGCCATGAACAAGAAGATTATGTAATGTTATGGAAACTCCACTTAGAATAAATTTCAAGGATAAAGAAAAACTGATACAGCAGATTTCAGATGAGGGTTATTATCCTGCAGATATTGGTACCATTTTTAATTAGTTCAAAC